ATATATAAAAGACAGATATTGTAACTCCATCTGGAAAGAGAGAATGTTTGATCTTAACAATGTAACTTCTAGCTTTCAAACAGGCTCAGAAAACAAGAAGTCAGCAGGAGTTCAGATAAAGGAAGCTTAAAAGTCAAATAATTCTGACTCTGAACCTGAGACTTCTTAGACTCAAGGTCCTTTCCTTTACCCATTAATGGGCTGACTTGTGAGCTCAGGAACAAAGTGCTGCAATGTGAGGATTTCTGAGAGTCACTCATTACAGATCACTGAGTGGAGTCTGAGTTGCGGAAATCAAAGGATCCAATCTGGAGTAACTGGCTGAACTTCTGCTTGGAACTAATTTGTTCCGAGTTCGGCTCACCTTTCACCTCCCGAAGGCCCAGAGTAAAGTCCCTACCGGGGTCAGCAGCAGACAGCACTGGGGGGATCCCAGCTCGGCTTTAATGGTCAGCAATGGGTACCACAGCCCCTCGGGGAGGGTGGACAGGCAGCCAGGGTAGGAGAGATGCGGTGGACACGGCAGGGCAGAACAGTGCCGGGCTTCCCGCTGCCCCGCGGGGTCTCGCTGCCGAGACAGGCAGATGCCTCTCCTAACCTGGCTAAAATACCCCACTGAGATGTCCCCCGTCCCCAGTGCTGACCAAGGGGGCCAGCGGCAGCCCACTGTTGCCACAATCCCGCTGTTGCCACAATCAGCACCTCAGGACCCTGTTGTGTCTTTGCCCATTCATGCCAATTCCTGGAAAGGAATCCAGGCATGCCAGGCAGGGCTCGGGAGTCAGGACTCCTAGTCCTATTCCTGGCTTTGCCACTCACTCCCTCCAACATCTGGAGCAAGATACTTCTCTCCAGGGAAACAAACCAGGCTTCAGGGGAGCAGCTGGTTTGGAGGCTGAACTAATCCATACTTAATCCAACATGTGGAGTGGCATGGATGGGCAGTGCTAGACCGCACAAAGGGATTCTCCAACTCAGAGGAATCTGAAGCAGGGAGATTAAATGATTCCCCCCAGGGTCCCCAGCAGCTCAGTGGCAAAGCACACACTTCAACTCCGGAGTTCAAGGCTGGTGGCAGGGTTAAACCGCTGAAGCAGCCCCGGCGAGGGGAAGAGCAAGGTGTCAGCCGCCAAGAACCCATGGCCAGGGCTGCAGGAGGCGAGGGAGGGAGAGGCCACTACAAAGCACCACTGGGCTTGCGTGTGTCATGCTGCTGAGCAGACAGGCCAGATACGTCCCAGCAAAACACTTCTTCTACAGAGAGCTGCTTGTTTGTGCTACCAAAACTGCCACCCTGCTGCAAGCACCCCAGGGCGGGGGAAAAGCACTGTACTTGCAGAGGCAGGCTGCTTTCTCAGCGCCATGTTTTGGGCACACTGCTTCCCACACTGTCCCCATTGCACCAGGACCTGGGACACCTCAGGGCGATCGCTCTGCAGTGTGGGGACATGTGCATGCACCCCACCAGCCAAAGAGCCAGCAACTACCCCAGCCCCCTCCCTTCTCAGGGCTGACCCCAGCCCACTGACCTTGCAGAGGCCAATTTTAGCTGTGACCGTGAGCGAGAGGCAGTGGGGCTGCTCCTGCCAGCTCTGGGCAGGGCCAGCAGCATCACCAACACATGGCCTCCACTCAGCTCAGCCCATCCTTGCAAAAGCTGGTTGTGGGCCACAGGCTGCTGGTCTCTCCCACCGCCTCAGTGCCCAGAACCACAGGAAAGGTTCAGGTCAAGCACAGTGCCAGGCCCTGCCTGACTCTCCAAATATACCTGAGCCAGGCAGAATGTGGGACAGCAGCCCCATTCCCCTCCTCTCCAAGATACCCCTCCAGCTCGGATGTAATTCCCCCCCCCCCCAAAAGGTAGCATAAAATGGTCACAGTGTGAATGTGCTTGACCTTTTGTCTTGGACTAATCTAATTGTGTCGTCTTTGTGTAATCAGCCGGTAAAGGTCAGTGCTGTATTTAACATAGGGGCCCTTTAGGTACTGAATTTGCCTTGCAGTGAATTAACTTGATTATATTTCTTTCAAATATGTCAGAGACCAGGTCAGTTTAACCCCCTCTGTGCTGCCTGGGCCCACCCCTTTGTTTCTGATTCCAGGAGGTGGCACTGAGGAACAATGTGGTCAGAAACACACAGATGGGCTCCCTCCTCCTGCAGCCATGGCCACCATCACCACCACCTCTCCCACCTTCCCAACAAGCAAAGTCTCAAGGGAGAGCAAATGTGTTGTGAATCAGCCCGAAAAGTTTGCAAACCAGAACACTCCGGACAACAGGGAGGGGTGAGATTTTGGATTGAATACAATAGGGGAAAATAAAAATAATTCAGAAGACTCCTTTGCAAACATGAACCTGTCTCAGTGGAATGCTTCCTTACGACTCCATATTGTCACAATCAAATAGGACATTACTCAAGTCCAGATTAACGTATCACCTCTGCCGTTGACAAATACGGTGTTCTCAATATCCTGCAATACATTATACATTTTAGAAAGTAAAGGTCTGTGCCACTACCGGGGCAGTATATTCAAGGCGTCGAGGATGCCACTGTGTGGAGACGGGCAGCTTTCATCAGGCATTCAGCTCAGCTGTGCCAGGGGACTGCAGAGGGGAAAGCAATCTCAGCTGATCTCCGGGCATACCCTTGGCCCTGAGGCAGTGGTGAGGGGCTGGGCAGCCTGCCCTCACGGAGGCAGGGAGGAGAGGCTGGTGATTTGCATCCTGTGGAAGTACACGCACAGGACACTGTCACAAGGCTCACAGTGAAAGAACCCCTAGGTCTGGCTTTCCTTTCTTGCACTGGAAGTAGGGCATAAAAACACCCCTTTGCTCTTGAAACACCTCTCTCCTTCCCAAGCCTCTGGCTCCAGGCAGGGCTACTGCTTGACTCCAGGGACTTGGGCAGGTCATGGCTCATCATCTCAAGACTGCTTTCCCCACTTGCTTCCCTCTGCTGAGCAGCCCTATGGGGCTGCGTCTAGAAGGAAAATGCCTCAGGCCTGCAGCTGCACTGGCATCACTGTTGCTGCCCTACCGCAAGCTCTCGTCACCCAAAGCCTTGCTGCTTTGGTCCACGGTGGCACCCACGTCAAGCCATCTGCCTGCATGGAGGATGTAGAAAGCCCTGCTGACCCCACCTATTAGCACCAAGAACACTGTCCAGCACAGGAGACGAGCCCAGAGAGCAGCACTGGGACTTGGGGGGAACAGGCGTGCTGTGCTCTCTTGGACGCGCATGCCTGGAGGGAGAGCAGGGCAGCATCCCCAGCGCTTGTCAGGGCATCTGCGTTGGAGACCTGAGTGCTCCCTGTTCTGCCCCCACAACCTTCCTTCTCACCGAGTTGGGGGTCAGTGGTGCTCCTACTACATCAATGATCTGGTCCTTGGCATCTCCCTTGCCTTCCTCGATGCCGAGGCCTGCCTGGCCATCTGGATGGGCGCCTTCCGCACTGAGGGGGCCAATACTACCAGCTTTGGCCAGGGCCTCATAGCGGTGCCGTAACATCTGCAGCTCATATTCACAGTTGGCAAAAGCTTGCTTCAGCTCATACAGCAGCACAAGGTCGCTCCGCAGCTCGTTGAACATCTGCACGATCTCCTCTGTGGGCATAGGGTTGAGATCTAGGGAGAAAAAGAAGTTTTGTTGAACACCCAGGCCTGCAACCCTACAATGGAAGATCCCTAGAAAGTTCCTGGCTGCCCATTCACTCCCACAAAGACACACCAGGAGCCTTGCTCCCATCACACAGATCATGAGCAATTCGCACCCCTAAGGGTTGGAGACCTGAATTTCCAGGCTGTCCTTTGGCTCTGGCCAAGGACTAAGGGTAAACCTGCAAAGCCCAGGACTCAGCAAGTGAGGGATGATGGAAGATGCTGATTAGACCAGACGACTGAACCTTGCTACCCACCAGGTCATATGAAGGGAGCTCAGTCTTGGGAACAAGTCCTCACGCACTGCTGCAGAGGACAGAAGAGCTCCTGCTGTTTCCTACACCTTCACCAACAACAGGAGGACAAGCTGAGCTCCCTTGCCTCTCTTGTTGCTCCTCCCAGGGTAGGACAGAGGCAGAGAATTGCCCTGCTGCTGTGTTACAGACATGTTTTAATGCAGACCTCAACTGCTTGTAGCAGGGGCTGGCAGATCGCCTCCCAGCACCATGCATTCTGCTGCAGCCCATCACACATGCAGCCAGGAAGAGCTGCATGTTCTGGAGAAGAAAAGGACGAAGCTTTGCACATTTGCCCTGATGTACAGCAGTGGCCCCCTGTCCGCAGGGCTGTCCATACAACCCCATCCTGCTACCACTGTGTTCACCCATAAAGCCTAGGTGTGTTTCTGTCCTTAAGACACAGCAGGGCTGGAGTACCAGGAAGCCCTTGAGATATGTGTATTTTGTAAAACAGGAATGGGGAGTCAGGAACCCCTCCTTACCCTCGTGGAAAGCAGCACTCACATCCTTTCCCAAGGCTTCCCTAGCAAGCAAAGATGGTAACTCCCTGAGTTTTAAAGCAGAAAGGGGGAAAACACCCTGGTTGAGCTGCTTTCACCAGCCACGGGAAGCCTTCAGAACTGCACACAGTCTCCAAGACAACCATAAACCAAGCCATCAAGCCATAAACCAGATGGCCCAAAAAACTAACAAGAGTTAAACAGAAGTCAGTGCTGGGAGCAGGCTCAGTAATCTCTTGTAAATCACCAATAAGGCTTTTTTTTCTTTTTTTTTTCTTTTTTTAAAATTCCCCCCAGCCACAGTTGGGGGAAAAGGGATCAATAGGTGTCTAATCAAGGGGCACTGCATGCTGGGACCTGTAGTACCTGCACACTGTACCCACTGCATGGAGGGCAGCAGCTAGCCATGGGCTGCACTTCTTCCCCTCTAGCTACAAGCGGGTATTGTACATGTTAAGTGAACCCTTCTTTCTGCTGCTAAGACACTGGAGTTCAAGAGTGAGGGATGTGTGTTTACTTGCCTTTCAGCTGAGATGCTCCAGATTTTCACGCAGCATGTAACCTATAAAGGGGGGATGAACAGTCCCCGGCGCATTTTGGACTTGCCACCGTGAGCAGTAAATTAAGAGGAAACGAAGCATGAAAGCAAGACAGGGCAGCCCCGAACAATGTGCGTGCCGTGGTCACTAACACACTTAGAAGTACCTCTCCTGGCAAGGCTGAGATTTGCCTTCCTAATACTGTGCTGCCTCTCTTGATGGTTAAAAAGGCCCAAACAAGAGAGAAACAAAGGCTCTTTTAAAACATTTTTCTGCTGGGAGGAAAAAAAAAAAAAAACCCTGTGCATCTTGTTCTGGCTTTTACCCCCTCTTTTTTTTTTTTTTTTAACACATAAAATATTTTAAAAACCATTCACATACTGTTATTCAAGAAACTGGCTGTATTACTAGGGGAAAAAATAGCCCATCTCGAGAACAAAGGCTAGCTCTGTGTGTCTCTTTCTCTCTCGCGTGCCCCCTTTACTCACCTACTCCGAGTTCCATCAGCATCTGCTCCAGGGCTTTAATCTTCTTCTGTCCCACCGAGCTTGGCAGTTTCATCTGAAACACAAAGGTAACAGAGCCACACAGCTCAGAGATAGCCCTCACTCACAGCCGTCTAGTTCAAAAGGCAAGAGAGCTTTTCTTTTTATAGTGCAGGGGGAACAAAAAAAGAAAGGGAGAGAAAGGAAAATCAAGTGGTAAGAGAGGGAGACAGGGGCTGAAAGTTTTCAGACTAGGTCCGAGGGCAGGTATTGAAAAGCCCGGTCGCGAGGGCTTTTATTTTCTCTCTCGTGTGTGTGCAAGACACGCTGTTTTACAGTTTCCATGTGTCACTGAATTAACAACAAAAGTTCTTCTTGGCTTCAAACCCTCTCCCGCAGTGCCCAGCCCATCAAAGGGCTCATTTACACAGCGGCTAATGTGCAATGCTGCCCTACTTTATTCGCTTTAGCCGGCCTGATTAGACTCATGCGCTAACAGACTCACTTCTCCTTTTACCTGCTGAGCCCCAGACCTGTGGGATTCATTTACAGAGCAGGCTTTATAACAAAGGGGAGAGACAGAGAGAGCACAGTTACTTGACTGGCGGAAGTGTGAACACACATTTACATCGGAGCTAAGGGGCTAGGTGAGAGAGGAAGCATCAGATGTGAGCTATGAAAGGGAATCGGAGCTGGCCAGGAGAGGAAGAATGCATACACTTAGCAGGGTCCTTCCTCTGCATTCATTTGGGCTCTAGCAGGAGTGCTAGCTGCTCAGACCAAGCATTTATTAGATTACAAGCAGCACAAACGCAGCTGGCACAATATGGCAGGGAGAACAGGTTTCCAAGCCCTGTGGATATATCTAAGAACAAATGAAAGCACTTTCCTTCCTCAGCAATGCTAGAAGACACACCAGGAAAGAGATGATTGTCAACACTGCAGTGTCAAACATCTTATTGCACAGTTGTGGTCTGTCCCTCCATATCCAGCCCTGGGAAGGTGAGCTTACACCTCCACCCGGGGATCACCATCACCAACCCAAGCTGCCCAGCAGACTATTGAATAGCCGAGAGGTGAGAGCATCCTGCAGCCATCCTGCACACCACTTACTGATCAGGGGCTCCAACCTTGGCCAAACCAACCACGAGACTGCAACACTGGGCTGGCAATGACCTGAAGGAAGAGCCATTCTTTGCTTCCTTGGGTGGCCAAGGAAGGAAAGATCACTTAGCACAGCTTAGCAGGAGACAGAACAGTTAGCCTGGAGCACCAGGAAGACATTCCTGAGAGCAAGAGCCCTCGGTCCAGAGAATTGTTCTGCCCCAGGAGGAATTACACAGAACATTTAAGATGGGCAATGCACCCAGCTCTGCCTCAGCTGAGGGATATATGGGCTGGCCTAGTCAGGCTGTGCTATCCTTAACTTCTAGGACACAAAGAGTTAACAAAGCCCAGCATGTCCCCATTGAAGAGCTCTGGACACACAATATTTGTGTAATCATCAGAGCCCTGAGAGTCTGTCTTCACCCCCACCCCTAACATTGACATCACGGTCTTTCTAGCTAAAGGCAGGATTCCCTTCAGTCAAACACCAGCTGGCAAAAGCATGCTGGACTTCAGGAACAAAGGACAAGGAATAGGAGCAGTTCATGCTTTGCTAGGCTAGGTGGACAGACAGGAGGCCTTGGTTTGTTGGTTAGAGGAAGAGCACAGGCTCTTCTCCTGGGAGGCTTCCACTAGCTCAAGGAACTATTGGCAACACAAACGACTAACCTGGCAAAGCCTTCAATTGTAATGTTACGTGTGTCCTGCTGACATCCCACAGGAGTCTGGTCAATGAACACCGAGCCAAGGTCTTCACTGACATTCCTGAAGATCACAGGATGAAGCAGGGAACGGCAGGACAAATTAATGTAACTTCAAAGAAAGGAAGTCTCGAGATGCTCAGGAGTGGGGCTATGAGTTTAGTTTAAAAACACATCAACTAAGCTTCCTTTTAATTCAGGCAGGAGGATCTGGCCTACAAACAGGAAGGCTTCATTGGTTTCTCAAAGCAAGAGTATATTTTAATTTTACCATCATTAAGAAAATGTTATGATTTATGTGGCTGCTGTCAGACTAATATCTTTAGAATTTAGCTGGCTAAGCCAATTCATCTCTAAGACTGATGAAGGCTGATTGCTCTCTATGCAAAATGTATTAAAACTAAATGAGCAGTCTATTACTCAAATGCTGCTGATAATCAGTTAGCCAGGGTCCGTTAGCTGGGCTGCCCTGTTGCAGGAGAGAAGCCTTCATGCCCTGTACAGCCCTGATAAGCCCAAGCTTACTTCAGCAAGCCTTCTTTGTTTTGGTCTTTTAAGTAGATGTCCAGAGATGCACCAGATTACTGGAAGTGGTGTATCACCTGTCCTCATTCCTGAGCGATGAGTCCACCCACAGGGACCACAGGTTCTGGCCTACGGCACAGAGAAAAGCTCTCTGGCTCAAGATGTGTGTGCTGGGATATGTGGTTTCTGCAGGCCATATCTCTGCGTTAATGAAAACGACACTCAGGGCAAACCCGTTGCTTACACCACAGCTCCTGGGATGTTCTTGGTGTTGTCATGGATCGAGTCCTCCGCAGGGGCTGAGAAAAAATTATGTTCCTCGGACAACTCCAGTGAGCAACCACAGCTTCCGAGGTGAATGGCATTTGCCCTTTTCTTTCCTTCCTCAGACCAGACTACTATTGTTATTTATTATCTTTAAAGTCCCAATATAATAATAATACCTGGGAAACAGATTGCTCCAGTCAGAAAACTGATTAGCCAGGATTTTTGAGGTTACTATATTTCGGATGCTCTTCTCCTTTGACAGCCTCTCCCTACAGCCCTCTTTGCAACACCAGCCTGCGCTTATAATTACACCAACGTCACTTTTGATTTAAGGACTGCAATCCTTTGTCCTTGCTAGAAACAACCTGCATTAAACACATGAACTGCATGTACCAAGAGAAAAATAAATAAAGAGCTACAGAAAATTGTGTGAATCAACACCATGAACCCACAGCACCAGACCTATCTATGCAGAGAGGAGCTTTGCCTGATCCTGGGATACAGAGCCGCTGCTGCCATGCACCTGGCCCAGGAGGCACGGAGTACACCGGTACCGACCCGGTCTGCTCTCCCCTGAAGGAGGAGGACGTTGCTCAGGGATTGCAGCTTAAATAGACAAAGAGAACATCCACCGCACTTCCATGCCAGGGGCTGGGAGACTGGGGGGTGGCCTCAAGCGGTACTATTTCTATAGAGGGTCTCACCACAGAGTTCCCTTGAGGTTTTGAATGATACAGGATTTTTATTTAATGTTCAAGACATTCCGCCAACAAAACCTTGCTAATTCACACTAATGACTAGGAGACCTACTGCAAATTAATTGCTAATTGGCAAAATTCATTAAATGAACAAACATGATAAGAAATAACTGAAGATAAAACCTCCCCAAACAGACTTGGTTCATTTATTTTTGTGTGCCATTCAGTTTTCATGATTTATGCTAATACTTTTAAGCATAGTTGTAAATGTATTTGAGTATATTTTGGTAGATTAATGAAGTCTTAAGTAATAGCAGAGCTTGCAACACAGTTCCTTGTTATGTCTTACAGCATCACCACCTGGCAGGTAGAGATTGCCATGGGGATCTGCACTAGGAATGGGAGAGGTGTGTGACTATATCTATGTGGTCATCTTAAATGTCCTGCTCTCAATTTATCGCTTTCTTCAGAAATGCTCCATTTCCGGTATTCACAAATAAAAAAAATCCCACTTCTGTACTGAAACCTTTTGTTTTGTCTCCCACCAAAATACAAGGTTTTTAAAATTAATCAATAGTTCTTTGGATATTTCACATGCACCCTCCCTGATGCTGCACTTCATTATAATTCAATTTTGAGGCAACCTTTTCCTTAAACTCACCTCTCCCCAACCCTAAATAATACGACTGTCCTAAAATCATTAATCCTAAAAAACTTCACATATCTGACCTGTGTCTGTACAGCTATAAACTGGTTTTATGCACTGGCACTGGTTTTGTTGCTCAGCATTATGATACATCTCACTGACATTGAAAACCACCTTCTTCGTGGATTTCAGCAGCAAGAAAACTTTCTCATTAGGCACTTTCTTCATGGGTATCTTTAGAGTACTGAATTGCTTAGTGGGTTTCCGGGAAGGAGTGCTAAAGTTTCAGATGAATAATGTTTTTTGCATTTTCTGACTTAAGATGGGGAAGGAAGGTCAACCTTTCCCCGGCTGCATGGCTCTACACTGCAGGAGCAGAGAGCTTCCACTTCTGCACAGTTTTAAGACTCAAGGAAGGAAAGAACCATATTAAGTACTTTAGCCTTAGAGCTCTGGAAAAAACCCAACAGAAAAATTCAATTTCAGATACTAACGTGCACATTTCTGGAAATTTGAAGTGCTTAACTGCTCAGAACTAAAGTGCTACAATGAAAGCTGGATGGGTAACTGCAATGGATATATGCAAAAGTTAGAAAAGTTTGAAATTGCCCAGGTATTCCCTCTCTCAATGAACATACACGCTTCCCCCCGCCCCAGCTTACAGCCATAGACCCCATGTCTTACACCAGTGCCTGCTGATCTGCCAGACTAAAATTTAGGACAGATAAAAAGAGTCATACCGCTATGCCATCTCTTCTATGCTATGGAACACATTAAACACAATGCAATCATTTTGGGATGGCATGTAATCATCAACTTGCTCCATCAATGAGGCTTAATGCTAAATAAACCAATCTTTTAAGAAGAAAACATTTCTATATTAACTAATGTAAATGGTTATTCCAGGGGTTTTTTAGACTGAAGTTAGACATACCCCTCAAATTCCCAAATCAATTGTGCAAAAATATAAATTCTGTACTTGAATTCTCCTAGTAAATTAAAACAGCTTTACTTGTTAGTGGAATATATCTAGTGAAAGCTTTGTCAAGGATGAGGGAGGACAACAGATCCCGGAGAAGCACAGCACACTCAGGCACACAGCAAAGTAGCACCTCACTGATCCTACAAACAT